CACATACACACCTAACCACCCACACAGACATACCTAACCACCCACACAGACACACCTAACCACCCACACATACACACCTAACCACCCCCACAGACACACCCAACCACCCCCACAGACACACCTAACCACCCCCACAGACACACCTAACCACCCACACATACACACCTAACCACCCCCACAGACACACCTAACCACCCACACATATACATTAAAAAAAGGAAGAAAGAAAAATTGTATGAGCAGAACTTTGTAGCACATGCCTATAAGTCCAGCACTTGGGAGGCTAAGGTAGGACTGAATTCAGTTCTAGCCTACAGCACTGTCTGTACTGTCTCAGAAAAAAAAAAGAAAGAAAAAAAACAGTTGAAGTTGTTACCCTTCTGTCTACTACAGTATACAACTTTTACTAGATCAAACCATATAGATCACATCACAGATTGCCTAAAATAGAGAATCCACAACCCCAAGCTTTTGCCCCCAACGCCAACCCAGCAGCCACACGATGAGCCCTGTGAGTAAATGCAGTTACCAATTCCAACAGCAGACTGTTTACCTACAATGTACAAGACTCCAGATTGGGTTCCCACCACCACCACTACCACCACAAAAACAAATTCCGATGAGTTAAGTCCTAAAGGCTGGAAAGGTAGCTCAGTGGTTAAGGGTACTGGCTACTCTTCCAAAGGACTGCACAGATTCAATTCCAAGCAAGCACTCACATGGTGGCTCACAACCATCAGTAATTTTAGTTCCAGAAAATCCAATGCCCTCTTCCAGCCTCAGTGGGAACCTGGATACACATAGTATCCCAAGATACATGCAGGCAAAACACGCATACACATAAAACAAGTAAATTCCTTTCTTAAAAAAAGTGATTCTCAGGCTAGAGAGATAGTTCAGTGGTTAAGTGCACTGACTAATTCCCAGCAACCACATGGTGGCTCACAACCATCTGTAATGGGATCTAATGCCTTCTTCTGGTGTGTCTGAAGACAGTGTACTCATATACATAAAATAAATAAATCTTTATAAAAAGAGTGATTCTCCAAGGCTGTGCTGTCACCCTGCCTGCTGCTGCCCTTGCTAAGTTCAGAGAAGGGTATGAGAGGGGCTTGGGATATAGCGGAGAGCTATCGCTTTTGCTTATCCGCAAGGCCTAGGCCTAGACTCCTCTCCCAGCAACACAGGCAGAAGGTGCCGCCTCTCACTCACGCTCATGGCAGCCACGTCATTCTCATAAGCCTCTCGAACTTTCTTCATGATCTCCTGCTCAGCCCTGCAGCAGTTCTCAATGGCCCCCTTCACAGTGATGGTCCGTTCTGGGTTATAGAGCGTAAGATCCTGGAGCCTGGCAAGAGAGCAGGGCAGTGTCAAGCAGTGGGCGGTGCAGGACTGAAACCAGACCCCAGCTAGGGACAAAGCCAAAAGACCAACTGAGTTACAGGTCCAGCCTTTCTAAAGGATGTCTGACTTCTGGCCAGTAAGCCCTATCTCCAGCCTTGAGGTAATCAGGGCAAGGAGTGTAGCATAACCACAACAATTCTGTCTGTGGGAACACAAGCTATCATGAAAGGTTGTGGTCACCAGACACACAGATGGCTGCAGGCAGACCTCTATGTGCTGCTGTGCAGCTGAGTATCTCTGCAAACAGCTGTTAGGTAACAGAGAGGCAGGCTGCTTACAGGCAGCTAACTCGAACCTTTCACTCACTGTTCTTTAGAGGCAGCCCAGTGTGGACTGGCTGAAAAGGACCAAGCTTTGTGCACTTCTCACAGTGGCAGACACCCCTGAAGGCCAGGCCCTCCCTCACTGCAGGCTTTTGTGGGAGATGCATGTATCTAGAATGTTGTGCCAAGGGGAGGTATTGGGGTGCTCCAGCCCTTATCAAGCAGGACAAATCATCTCACCACTTCTTGGATTCCATTTGTCCCAAGAGGCGGGTGCTAAGGCTCAATGGCAGGTCCCTCATACCCCACGCTGAGCTCACCACTGCTGTAGAGAGACCCTCTGAGAGACTTACGACGAGATGGTGATCTTTGTCTCGGTATCCTGCTCCACCTTCTTCAAGTTCCGCCCTTCCTTGCCAATGAGTCGCCCCACAAAGTTATTATGAGCCAGGATCTTCAGGGGAACTTCATCTGCCCTAGAAAGAAAGTAGGGGACAGCTCGGTCAATGATGTCAACAAAGGCCCAACTAAATGGTTACCCAACTATGTGACGAACCCAGAACAAACCCTGAGCCAAGTGCCAGATTACAAGCCCAGTAGAGACCAGTGGTTTACAAACAGAAATGGTGGGTGGGGATGGCACCACCACCCACCCAGATTCCAGATGGAATCTGGAAGCCAGAGCTTTATCTCAACTGTGATCACGGTCAACAGGTACATGATCAACAAATACACATCAAAATTCATGTAACTGCACACTCAAAAAATATGTGCAATTGGGATTGGGGATTTAGCTCAGTAGTACTGTTTTGTTTGTCCAGCATGCATGAGGCCTAGGCTCCACCCCTAAGGTGAAGGACGTAAGGGAGCAGAAAGGATACCCAATGTGTCGGCATTTGTCTACAATCCCAAACACCAAGGCTGAGGCTGGAGGATGCAGGAATTCTAGGCTAACCTAGGTAGTATGTCCTCAAACGAACACAGCATTATTATACTAGTTGAACCCTAATAAAGCTGTATAAAAAACAAAAACAAAACAACCCAGAGACAGTGGTAGTGCCTGAGAGACAGAGGTAAACAGATCTCTGTGAGTTCAAAGCCAGCCTACAAAGAAACCCTGTCTCAACACAAAACACAAACAATGAAAAAGGAAAACAACGGATACTTAGTGTGATGATGCATATATTATCAGCGGACTCAAGAGGACATGCGCACACAGCTGTGGAAGACCCACCCTGTTTAAAAGATTGTGTGTGCGGTGGAGAGGCTGGGGTACGGGGAGGTGAAGATGCCCGAGGAAGACGGTCAGAAGGTAAGGCATTGGATCGCTTGGAGCTTGAGTTTCAAAGGTTTGTGAGCCACCCAGTGTAAAGGTGGAAGAGATCTGAATCTTGGTCCTAATAGGACAGTATCTGTCTTAACTGCTGAGCCATCATCTCTCCACCCTGAGCTATTCTCAAGAAAACATAATAGAAACTGAAGCCAGGCGTGTTGGTCCAGCAGGAAACGGGATTGCAGCACTTCAGTGTTAACTAGGGTACAGTGATCCTGCCTCAAATACTCCACCCTGTCAAAGGGCCCAGAACCAAAGACTCGGAAAGTACTGTAAGTGAATCCCCTGGCCTGTTCTGCATTAGTGGGGCCCACACCCAGGTCCTCACACATCCAGGCACCTACTGCATGCTACTGTGCTATATTTCAAGCCCTGAGCTTCACTCCTAGTGCAGTCATAAAAGAAAAAAAAGTATGTGTGTGTGTCTGTGTGTGTCTGTGTGTGTCTGTGTGTGGTGTCTGTGTGTGTATGTGTGTCTGTGTATGGTGTGTGTGTGTCTGTGTGGTGTCTGTGTGTGTCTGTGTGTCTGTGCATGGTGTGTGGTGTGTGTGTGTGTGTCTGTGTGGTGTCTGTGTGTGTGTCTGTGTGGTGTGTGTGTGCCAGCAGTCCCAAGTGCAGCCGGATCTTACGTTTTGGTGTCCTTTGCCTCCTTGTGCATAATCTCCAAGATCATCTTACAGGCCGAGGAGCAGCCTTCAGGGGTTGAATGAACACTGATGGCCTTCTCCGCAGCTCCTGCATTCTCCTTCCTATGCACGTCTATCCTGAGGACCACAAGAAGAAAGCTGCTTAGTTGTCTCCAATAACATGAGACTTCCCCACTTCCTGTCAATTAAACGATAGAATCCGCTCTCCCTGCAACGGGGCCTGTCAAGTATAGAACCAGGAAAGTCAAGAAGGGGCCTGGGAACCTCGGCCAGGTGTTGCTCTGCTCACCTCTGAGAGAAGAATGCAGGCCACCTCACAGCTACTGAATGGGGACACTCCCAAGCTGTGTGTGGCTGTGAAGTTATTTTTCTCCTTCTAGTGTCCCTTTCCAAACAATGTATCTGGGAGACACCCTGTTCCGACTACAAGTAAGCCATAGTGATTAACTACTTATGTTAAGGATATGAGCTGGGCTGTTCTCCCCACAGCCGATGTCTATCTGTAACAACAGGAAAGCAGGTGACCATACAACAATGGAAGTGGGGACATAATCACATGCCAGAGGAACGCGGCTTCAGCCAGGCTGTCCAGCTTGTGACCACAATTAAGTGGCTACTTATCACAGAGTACCCAACCAATGGCTAACTCCCACCTCACAGGACCGAGCAACTCTTCCTTCTGGAGACAACGAACCCAGACACCCATCCGCCTCCTCCTCTGCCCAATTCTAACACAGAGGCAACACTGGCAACAGTGACCATCCAGGTCCCAAGAAACAATTCTAAGGACAAAAGTACTGATGCCCAAACTGTGCTTCCGGGAACCGCCCCAGGCCCACCTCTCCCCTGCATCCACCCTCCCTTTCCCAACACTCACTTGGACTGAGTCTGCTTTGTGATGTTTCGGATGGTGGCACCCTCCTTGCCAATGATAGCACCTACATACTGCGTGGGCACCAGGAGCCGGAGGGGGATGTCCACTTGCTGCTGCTTGGCTGGGGCCCCCGCTGCCACAGGTGACCCTTGCCGAGGCTGGCCCCGAGACCCAAAGCCTCCACGGCGCCCATTCTCAGGACCTTGTGCTATCTGCTCATCGGGTATGTAGGAGACCTTCAGGGCATGGTTCTCTAGTTGATGGCCGTTTAGCTTCATGATGGCTCTGGGAACAGGTAGTCCAATGGTCAGTCCAACTCACGCCAACCACACCAAGCGCCTCCCTTACCCAAAGCACCTACTGAATTACAGCTGTGAACACACTGGGGATACTGTGGAGCCAATCATCTGTCTGCCACCCCTCTATCACTAGGGAACCTTCTGGTCCGTGAGAGAGAAGACACTAAGGGAAAAGTAACTGATACAGCAATGCCACTTGCTTCCTTGGGATTTATTGTTCACAAAAATCTTCCACTTAAGACCACTGGAAGATGTTGAAGCATGGGGGAAAAATGTGGCGATACCCTGTGACAGCCAGATAGAGCTAAAAACAATGCATACAACATGTGTTCTGACCACTTCAGGGAGTGAGAATACTAAAGGCTCAACCTAAGGGCCAAGGAGCTGGGACCTGTGGTGGTGGTGGTGGTGGTGGTGGTGGTGGTGGTGGTGGTGACTCAAGGGACCTAGCAACACATCAGCCAGGCTCCTAACCATCCAGCATCACGCCTGATGCAGTCGCAGTAACCCACACCCATAATCATAATACTCAGGAAATGGAGTAGAAATCAGGGTCACCCTTGGCTACCCAAGCAAGTTAGAGGCCACTATGAATTCAAAGAAGAAATATACACACTTTTGATCTACCTGTTTTGAACGAGGCAGTTCCCCCTCGTAACCAAAAGATGGCACCATCAACATAGTACAGGACTCTGGTGTTCCCAGAGATCCAGAGGTAACGTCTCCTCTCAGTCCTCCCCGTCCCTGCAGTTCATTTCTCCTGAGAAATTTCTGATTTCTGAAACATGCCCCTAAAAGACCTTTTGTGGGATCCTAGGACTAGCTGAACCAGTATCAGGAGCCATCTGAGAATCCCAGTCTGCCCGGACCCATCCACAGGTCCCTCCCCTATAATGGGGGTCCAAGGAGAAACCTCAGAGCCCCACCCCCAAATCCCCCCTCCCCACCACCACCAGGCCCCACTTCTGAGGTACTCACTGCCTGGTCTGCTCCCGGTTGGAGTAGGTGACGTTGACCACCGCTGTCTCACTTTCCGTGTTCACTGTGGAGACAACAGAAAAGTCCGCCAGAGTTAGAGCTCTGCTGACAAACCGCAACCTGTCTGTAGGTCAGCAGGGTAAGCAGCAGACTACCAAGCTGAGACTACATTCAAAGGACTCGTGAAAAACAATTCAGACGGCCTCCTTCAGAGACACTGGAAGCTGACTAGTCAACTCTTGCTGGCTTTTAGATGTAGCAATGACACAGCAAGGCAAATACCTGATACACACAAATCCCGGCACTGGAAGCAAATTTACCCTGGGAAAGTTCAATTAGCAAACAAGCAACACCCAGTGGGTGAGATTAGCCATTCACAGAGGTAACAAGTCAAGAAAAAAAATGGCCTTTAGTTTCCTTCTCTCAATGGCTCAAGATATTTGGAATTATCTAATTAAATCCATTCTGTAAGCCTGAGTAACACACTTTCGCAGAGAAGGAATTCCAGGCTCAAATATTCTCAACTTCTTGACAGTGGACATGGGACACATGAGGCCATCATACTTATGGGTCCCAAGAATGATTTCGATCCAAAAGCTTGGATTTTTTTTTTTAAAAAGATTTATCTATTTAATGTGAGTGCTCTATCTGCATGTACCCCTGCATGCCAGAAGAGGGCATCAGATCCCATTCATTATAGATGGTCGTAAACCATGTGGTTGCTGGAAATTGAACTCGGGACCAAGTTTGGTTTTGTTGATTATTACCTTCATTAATTAATTAATTTTATATCACTGGAGACTGATCCCAGGGCCTTTACACAGCTACACTCTACTAATTAGCCATATTCTCAACCTCTGGCTCTGGGAGACAGGAGCTCACTAAATACCTCAGGCTAGGCTGCAGCTCAGTAGGCAGCTAAGGATAACCCAGACCTCACCACCAGGACTAAGACTAACCCACTTCAGTAATGGGCAGAGCTACTACATTTAAAAGAAGAGACAGAAGAACTTCAGGCAAAGCATTACAGTGTGTACCTGCAGTCTTGGCACTTGGGAGATGAAAGAAGAAAGTTAGGAGTTCAAGACTATACTGAGATTTTTTTTAAAGGAGGCTTTGTTCAAAAAAATAACAACAACAAAAAAGCAAAAAACAAATCACAGCGATTTGGCTGTGACTCAATGGCTAAGAGCACTGACTGCCCACCCACAGGTCACACCCACATGGCGGCTCATAACCTTTTGTAACTCTACTTCCAAGGAATCAGACGCCATCCTCTGGCGTCTTTGGGCACTTCACACACATGGTGCACACAAGGAGAAAGATGGCTGAGATCTCCTGAGCAGCCTGGGCTGGGTGAGTCAGACCAGACAGGTCTACACGGCAAGGCTCTGCCTACACTGAAAAGAAAGCCTGACAGTTGAGCTGAGTGTGGTGGCGCAGGATGACAATCCCTGAGCAAGATTGTTTCTGAGGCCAACCAGGGCTGGTGAGACCCTTGAACAGGTGTGGTGGATTCTTTTTTTTTTTTTAACCATTTAAAATTATTTCATGTCCATCTGTCCATGCTCACATGAGTAGAGGTCAGAGGACAACTTTAGGGAATCAGCTCCCTCTGTCCACCATGTGGGTTCCAGGGAGAGATTCAGGTGGTCAGCCTGACAGAGCCTGAGTTTATAGGTGGCAGATAGCTGCCTGCTCGGAGTGGCCAGGCAGTCTGTCTCACTCATGTTAGCTGCAGCAGGGCTGAGCAACAACTACCAACAAATCAGCTACGCCCTGGCACGTGAGCCGAAAGGCAAGTGAGAAGATTAGAGCAGAGCCTGCAGCACGCTTCACTGCCGGGCAGGCAATTCCAGCCATCATTTGTCAGCAGGCACAGCTTGCCGCTTCCCACAAAGAAGTTACAAATGAACATCTAAACCTCAGACAAAGCAACTGCTGCTTCTTGAAGAGTGTCACAAGTGGGCTGCTACACTGTCACATGGAAGAAAGGCACTGCCTTCCCCCAACACACATCACGCACCATGGAATACTAACTATCTAGTCGTAAAAATTTGAAATTCCATCATCAACTAGATGGAAGCAGAGATTACTCAGTTAAATTAAATAAGCAGGTTCTGAAAGATAAGAAATCACGTGCTCTCAGGAACATGAAAGCACATGGGAAGGGTACAGACTGGAAGAAGGGAACAGAGGGTGGAAAATGGAGGGTAGAGGAGAGGAAACAACAGAAAATAGGAAAGTGGGGGAAAGAGAAGGAAGATTGGAGGGGAGTCTCACTGAAAGGAGAACATGCGTTTTCAAGGCATGAGGAACGACAGGGAAGGAGGCAGACTTGACTGGCGGGCCGAGTGACAGACAGACAGACAGACAGACAGCACTCCTTTCTACATGGTATGACAGCAACAGACCTCATGTCCTATGAACTTCAGAGGGCAATAAAATTTTAAATGTTTTCACCAAGAAGTGATTAAGGAGACTAATATGCCTGCCTCGATTTAAGCAGGCCACGACACCCACGAACATGTATGTAGTGTTCCTACATGTTGGCTTTAAAAAAAAAAAAACTAAAACAACCTCATGTTGTGGTGCGCAACCAACCCCCCCCCCACTTCCTCTGGAAAGAATTTACATTAGAAGCAGAAGACCCTCAAAATCACAGCTAATGTTTTTCTTTTTAAAGCTTAGAATCCCTGCACTTCCCTCTATGGGCCCAATATTCAAAAAGGTTTTGCCTGCCCATCAAACTATTAAGGAATAAACTTTTTTCAAACTTGTCCTCCATTTTGTCTTTATGTGGATGGGTAGTTTGTCAGTATAGTCCCTTGAAGGTCAGAAGTGGGCATTAGATCCCCTGGAACTGAAATTACAGGTGGCTGTGAGCCACCTCTGGGTGCTGGAAATCAAAGCTCGGTCTCTGAAAGAGCAGCCAGTATCTTAATCACTGAACCATCTCTACGGCCCTCTCCCATCCCCGTCTCTCTCATTCATTCATTCATTCATTCACTGTTGCTTTTATTTTTGTTCTCAAGACAGGGTTTCTCTGTGTAGCCCTAGCTCTTCTGGAACTCACTCTTGTAGATCAGCCTGCACTGTAAGAGATCCCCTACCTCTTCATCCCAAGTGCTGAGATTAAAAGAGTACACCAACACACCCAGAAGGATTCTTTTTTCTTGTAAAGACACAGTCACTCAGGCTGGAGAGATGGCTCAGCAGTTAAGAGCACTGACTGTTCTTCCAGAGGTCCTGAGTTCAATTCCCAACATCCACATGGTGGCTCACAACCATGTAATGAGGTCTGAGGCCCTCTTCTGGCATGCAGCGGTACATACAGATAGAGCACTCATTCATTAAAGTAAAATTAAATATTAAAAGGAAAGACAAAGTTTCTCTCTATGTACTGCTAGAATAATGCATGAGGCTGGCCTCAAACTCACAGAATCTTCCAGCCTCACAAAAGCTGAAATTAAATAAATGCACCCAGGCCCTACAAATTTCTGTTCTTTTTGGTTTTTTGTTTTGTTTTGTTTTTGTTTTTCGATACAGGGTTTCTCTGTATAGCCATGGCTGTCCTGGAACTCACTCTGTAGACCAGGCTGGCCTCAAACTCAGAAATCCGCCTGTCTCTGCCTCCCAAGTGCTGAGATTAAAGGCGTGCGCCACCACCGCCCGGCTTTTTTTCTTCTTTTTTCTTTTTTTTTTTTTACAAATTTCTGTTCTTAAATTACTGAAATGTTGTGATTCTTGGAAGCTTGGGACTGAGACTCCTTATTAAAAAAGGGTAATGAGGCTGGGTGTGGTGGCCCACGGCTTTAATCCTAGCACTCAGGAGGCAAAGGCTGTCAGATGTAAGTTTGAGACCAGCTTGATCTATATTGCAAAGTCTACTTTCAAGTTCCAGGCCAGCCAAAGCTAAACTGTGAGAGCCTGTCTCATTGAAAGCAAGAAGAAGGAAAAATAGATGTTCAGACTGCCTATCACCCAGAAGCCCAGTTTCATGGTTCCGCACACTGTGGGGCGGATGCTGAGCCAGCGTCCAGCGTCAGCGTATGTTCAGGAGCCCAGTTTCATGGTTCCGCACACTGTGGGGCGGATGCTGAGCCAGCGTCCAGCCTCAGCGTATGTTCAGGAGCCCAGTTTCATGGTTCTGCACACTGTGGGGCGGATGCTGAGCCAGCGTCCAGCGTCAGCGTATGTTCAGGAGCCCAGTTTCATGGTTCCGCACACTGTGGGGCGGATGCTGAGCCAGTGTCCAGCGTCAGCGTATGTTCAGGAGCCCAGTTTCATGGTTCCGCACACTGTGGGGCGAATGCTGAGCCAGCGTCCAGCGTCCAGCCTCAGCGTATGTTCAGGAGTACTATGCCCTCTGTCTGTGTCTTCCCAATGGATCCGATCACAGAACCCCCGGGTGACCCCTTGTTGGCCCAGTCTTACCTTGCTCACAGTTCTCCACTGTACCGTACTGAGCCAGCAGGCTATCTAGCACCTGGAAAGGTAGAAAAAAAGGTGTCTGAGCTTCCTGGGGCCTGAACACCCCTTACCCCAAAGCTCTGGGGCACCAGCAGGAAATCTCCCTTAGGGCCCTCCGGCATCAACCCTGTTTGCAGGAATGCACCTGGCTCTGGGCCTTTGAAGGAGATTCAGACTTCTGCCATCAGAAAGTTCTAGAAACACTTTTCCTACCTCCTTAATGCCTCTTGGCCCAGAGCATGAGTGAAAAATGAGCCCTTACCAACCTCATACCCAGGGTTATTTCTACCAACTCAGCCAGACAAGAGTCCCATGCCCAGTCTCCACCCCACCTGTGCGTTCACTTCTCTGAGCACTTACTTCCCATCGGAGCTGAGGCGGAATGTTTCGGATCTGTATTTTCCGACTCCTGAAAAGGAAAGAAATGATTTAAGACAATTCCAGACGCTTTAGGCCCATGCCCTAGCAGTTTCTAGTCCTGTCCCAGCTTATCATCTCACCAAAACCATAGGACGGTGGCTTCCTCCCCAGTGCTAGGGACTGAATTCATGATCTGGCTGGCACATGCTACATCTCCAGCCCTATAAATAGCAATCTAAACCAGGAGTGGTGGCACATGCCTTTAATCTGAGCTCTTAAGAGGCAGAGGCAGGCAGATCTCGGTGAGCTCCAGGCCAACCTGATCTCCATAGTTAACTATAGGACAGCCAGAATAAACAGTGAAACCTCATCTCAGGTACAACAACAACAACAAAATAGCAACCCAAGCCGAGCATTGGTGGCACACACCTTTAATCCCAACACTTGGGAGGCAGAGGCAGGCGGATTTCTGAGTTCGAGGCCAGCCTGGTGGTCTACAGAGTGAGTTCCAGGATAGCCAGGGCTACACAGAGAAACCCTGTCTCGAGGAGAAAAAAAAAAAAAAAAAAGAATAGCAACCTAATAGTGATGCAGATTTTAGAGCAGATGAGGCTTTACCTAACAGGACATCAGACAAGAATTCAGAACCAGATGTTCTCAGCATAATGGTAGCAAAAGATCGAACACACTGTTTTAGTGCTTGCTACGGCTTAGCTTTTCCACATACTTCTCTCATCACCACAACAAAGTCAGGAGGCTGGAGAAAGGATGCTTAGGGCTCAGTAGTCCCACTACTATGCCCCATGTGAGGCGGCTCACAACTATTTGAACCCCAGCTCACCTCAGGCACCTGATCACTGGCTACATATCTACACATACGTAATTTAAAATAAAGCAAATCCAAAGTCAAGTAAGACGGTAACTATTAATTAATCTAATACCTCTTTAACTGGCACCTAGGTCAAGCTCGACTCTACTCTGGAGGCTGGGGCATAGCAATGAACAAAAGAAGCGGAACGGCTGGCCCAGGTGCTCACCTCGTATTAGGGGAAACAATATATGCGAACAATTGCATAAGATAATAGTACAGTGGTTAAGCCCTTGGCACAGCTAGGGATCTAAACCACTTATTAGCACTGATCTTTAGATTACTTAACTTCTTTGAGACCCGGTCTCCCCCTTTGTACAACAGGGATAATACCCGTACAGGTGGTAAGTGGCATTAGACAGTATTTGTAAAGTGATTAGTAGAGACCTGGAATAAGTCCTTAAAGTGTAACAATAGATGCATCTATGCATGGTAAAGGTTCTCCGGAGTGATCAACACACACGGCCCAGCATCAGGACCACCTTTTCTCTCCCACATTACTCCCTCCCAGTTTTCAAATGGCTCTGAAAAGAGTGATGATTTCCCTTGAGAAGTGTAGGTTCAGGGCTAAGGCCCAGAGCGACCCAGAGGGACTACTCACCACCCAAATCAATACCTTAATCCTGGAGTTTAAGACATTTAAAGTGACTTGATGTGTTAGTCAATTATCATTTAGATCTCTGTGTATCTTTGATCCTGTACAAACTCTTAGTTCAAAGACAAGATTGGGGTGTTAGATAGATGGCTCAGCAGTTAAGAGTACTAGATGCTCTTTTAGAAGAGCAGGATTTAATTGCCAGCAGGCCCAGGATGGGTCGAAACCTTCTATGAGGGGGGAATCAGACGCCCTCTTCTGGCTCCCACAGGCACTGCATCCACACAGCACACAGGCATACATGAAGGCAAAATAGCAGCATATACACGTGAAATAATGCTGAGTCACGTCTGCTCAGCCCTCAGTGGCTGGCCAGATGAGCAGGCATCCAGATGTGGGGTGGCGCAAGCAAAAAGGAATGCAATGTCCTAACTGTGGATGTGTTAGCTTCAGTTGTCCCAGGCAGTCTCTACCAAAGCAGAGTCTAGTGTCTAGTGTAAAATAAAAGGGTCTCTGTGGCCGGGCGGAGGTGGCACACACCTTTAATCCCAGCACTTGGGAGGCAGAGGCAGGCAGATTTCTGAGTTTGAGAGTTCGAGGCTAGCCTGGTCTACAGAGCGAGTTCCAGGACAGCCAGGACTACACAGAGAAACCAAAAAAACCAAAAAAAAAAAAAAAAAAAGGAAAAAAAAAAAAAGGTCTCTGTGACTCACTTCAGTCTGAAATTCTGAAAATGGCAATTCTTTATCCACAAGCTACAGCAGTCCTCAAACCGAGCACTCAAGAGGCAGAGGCAGGCGGATCTCCAGGAGTTTGAAACCGGCCTGGTCTACACAATGAGTCCCAGGACAGCCATGGTTAAACAGAGAAATCCCATCTTGAAAAAGAAAACAAGATAAAGGAAAGGTGGATCTGCTGGATGGAGGAAAGTCTTTGTGGTTTGTGAACTCGACCTAACAAAGTTAGAGTAGATACAGTGAGGATCGTAAATAGATTCTTCAGCTGGGCCTGAAGGCGTGCGCCATGATCCCAGAGTCTAAAGTAGGCCCGACGCATGCGCAGGCCAGTCTATGGAACAGTAAGCGGTAGTAGGTCAGTCAGGAGGTGGCATTGCAGTGACTGCAAAAGGGGAAGGGAAGAAGGAAGAAGGACAGACAGACATAACAGCGTGCACAGCACTTGTCTGGCAGACATAAAGCCCTGAGCTCAAGTTCCAGGACTGCAGATAGGTAGGCACGGTGTCAAACCCCTGTAATCCTAGCCCCCACAGCACTGGCAGGAGAATCAGAAAGTCAACGACTGATCCAGCTGTGTGAGGCGTGCTCTGTGTCAGATACACAGGCATGAGAAGCCAACGAGGCCATTTCTGAGTCCTTAGACCTCATCCCATCAGGTTCCAGATCCAAGGATTGGGCAAAAGGCAGCTTTGGATCTCCCTGGTAAGGGTTTCTCACAAAACAGCTCTGTGACCAAACAGACTGAGTATGCTCAGAATGGTGGAAAATGAACACTGCCCTGGTTTAATGGCAGGAGGAGCCCAGCCCAGGACACCCCCTCCCAGCAAATTCTTTTGAATGGAGCGGAGATGAGGGCTGCATCTAGGAAGACACAAGGCATAAAGCAACCCTAGTACAGGAGCCTAGTTTGAAATATGCAATCCCAGGTCAAAGGCCAAAACTTGCCTGTCCAAACTCTGTTTGGGGCCTTCTATTCAGAAGGGCAGGAGCAGGGTGGTAGCAGTGAAACCCAATCTCTGCAAGGATGTTAATCCAGATCCAGAAAGCAATGGCAGGCAGATTGGCTGGAATGTCTGGAATGTTCCAGGAGGGGGAGGGGGAAAAGGGCAGGTCTACCCAACCAATGAAAGAAAGACATGGCAGCAGCCCTCCCTCACCCTTCTAGGGCACACACCCATCCTGGGAACCCACTCTAGGCTCCTCCCAGGCTTCCTTCTCAGCAAAGCCCCCAGCCCTGATTGAAAAAACAAGGGGGTGGCCTAGAAGAGCTGAGGCATCCGAGGGCCTTTGTCTTCTAAGCCTGGTTTTCCACTGAGTGTAGTGCTATCTAATTCCTTTCAGGCCCAAACTGCACAGGGCAATGCCGAGACCTGTATTCCCTTGCTTACATTACAACCCTTTGGATAACTTACTCATCCCACATGAGAGGCCCAGCATTGGCTGGGTTAGGCTGGTGTGCTGAGGGCTTACAGGAGCTCTAAATCTGTGGCTTGCAACTCTTTGGGGAATGCATAGAACTACCCTTTTACAGGGATCACAGGAGCATCTGAACAGGTATGTATATTACAATCCATAACAGTAGCAAAATTAGCTACGAAGTAGCAACAAAAATAACTTTCTGGTTGGGAGTCACCACAACATGGGGACCTGTATTAAAGGGTCACAGCATTAGGAAGGCTGAGATCTACTGGCTTAGAGGCTCCTGGTGGACGGGGAGTATATCTCCCACTTGCCCGTGGGTTTCCTCCTGGTGGACGCTCAGTCCAACAAGGCCGTATGCTAAAGGAGACCAGAAGGTCGGGTCTTTACAGAATCTAAATAAACTTGTTCACAATGACAGAGAAAGAAATCTTATAACCCTGTCCCAATAAACCTGGGTCTACCAAGGCCAGGCTGAGCAGTGTTTATGTCCCACAGGTAAAAGGGCACCACACCAGAGCACTTTCTTAGTGCCTGGAGGGCCAAGCCCCACTCCAGCAAAGAGAGAGAACCATGAGAAACTCATTAACTGCCCTGACCCGCTAACAGCTAAACCTGTTGAAGAGATCCAACTGCCAGCAGTGGCCATTAGAGACAATGGTTACAACCGCCAAAATGGCTCCTAAGTGCAAACAGCCGGCAGCTTTCCCATGTCTGCTTGCTCTGACCCCCAATCAGGGAACCATCCTGGAGGGTAGCTCAACGGACACATGTGAACCAGGAAAAATCACCTCTGTGCCACTGCAGAGCCGATTTTTTTTGGGGGGGGGGAAGGGGGGGGGGGCCCGGGGAGGTCAAGCCAGGGGAAACAGACCAGGGGAGATTTAAAGAGGCAGAGAGACAAAAGAATGCCACACATCCACCAGAGTATACTTGCGTGGGGGTGGGGGTGGCTGAGATTAGGAATGTCTGCCAGGTCCCTTTCATAGACCTGTATGTGCTATTGGTGGCTTTGTCTGACAGCCTAGGGCCCTGAAATTAAGATACACAATGAATATCTTGTCCGCATTTCATGATCACTAACCACCAAAGCCAGGAGGAATAGAACCAAAACGCCATCTAATTTCATTGTGTTTGTTTTGAGTTTGTTTGTTTGGTTGGTTGGTTTTTCGAGACTGGGTTTCTCTGTGTGTAGCCCTGGCTGCCCTGGAACTCACTCTGTAGACCAGGCTGGCCTCAAACTCAGAAATCCACCTGTCTCTGCCTCCCAAGTGCTGGGATAAAAGGCGTTCGCCACCACCGCCAGGCTTCTTGTTTGTTTTTTAAGACTATTTTTCTGCATAGTCCTAGCTGCCCAATATAGACCAGGCTTGCCTCCGCCTTCCAGTATGCTTGCTGGGTGGTACTGGGATTAAAGGCATGTTTCACCA